CAAGCTAGCTGAGCAGTTGGAGAATGAAGGTGTGGACATCATACAAACTGAAGGAGGAAAATGTTCTAGTCCTTCCAAGGCTGGAATACTTGGTCTAATAGAAAAGGTACGGTACTTCAATACACTAGTTAACATATACAAGCATCGACATAACCAGATATTTAGGGACTTTAGGCTTTCGATAGGGCCCGCAGAATCTAAGCGGCAATAGCTGATAAAGTCAATCAGTGTGGTTTGGATCTACATTCATATCTTCAGGAGTCGATCTTGATGACCTTTGGTCGTGATAAAGTCAATCTTTCTGTACAAAGCTTCTGGTGATCAGCATACCATGGAACTTTTAATTCCAAATCTGTGAAAATCTTGCAGTATTTGGTGGCATTTTTTGAGCTGTTGCATCACTGACTATGCTTGGCATTTACTTTTCCATCTTATCATTTACTATCAACTCTTTGAAGTGAAAGAGTCCTTGCACATGCCCATTTTAATTAAAAGTTGGTACTAACAGGTTTGCAGATTTGGGAAAGCAACAATCTATGTTTCATTTTTGAGCTGCAATAATCCAATTTACTCAAACTCTTCACTTTGTATTGACATACATGTGTCAGATCTTTCATTTTGCACTAGTATACCGGTGTCCAAGGGACTCCCATACCAGAGTCTGAGTAACTTAGGCAACAATATTGACAGAGATCTCTTAACACAATTGTTTACCTAGTTAGGCACTTGCTCTAGCAATCTGCATTTTGCTCGTTTCCCATCAGTTTCAAAGTTGACTTTCCTGTTTGTTCTTTAGGCTCGTCAGAAAAACACTAACTCCTTAAAATGTGCTCATGTTCATCATACTAAACACCTAATGTGGATTGGTTCAACTATTTTCTTCTAATCTCTTGGAAACATTGTTAAAATTCATAAATTCTGTATATTTTTACTAAATTGAAATGTGTGCTAACTTATTTCTGTTTCGTTTACCTCTTAGGCAACCCCTACATTAGCAGCAGCATATTCTATTTCACATGCAGTAAAGATACCTGTTATGTGTTCATCAGGACTTAGTGCTGTCACTGCCCCCATGGCAATCACAGCTGGAGCTGCTGGCGTGGTATGCTTTCAGACTTGAATAATTATTGTTATTTTTTAAGTCATGCAAAGGAAATTGCTAAACTTCTTGTCTTAATCCAAATGCAGGGGGTAGGCTCAGCAGTTAACAAGCTAAATGATGTGGTAGCTATGATTGCAGAGGTCAAAAGTATTGCTGAATCTCTGAGTAATCTGAGCAAGAAAAAACTTGCGTTGGACGGGAGAACTCTAAGACTGTAAATCTCTGCATTTACAAAAATATATAAACGGTTTCTGGGCGATATATGATTGTTATAAAAAAAAAATAATTCCACGTGTGAAATAATTTGTTTTAATTTAGTTATGGCTTTTTCATATTTACCCAAAAACTCAACGTGGACATCCTCCTAGATCAATCAAATTCTGCAAAACATATATGTTTAGATATATGCAAACTGTGCTTGGAAAAGTATCAAGTATCTGCATAAACATTGAGGTATGATTTAACATACTGGCCGCCATAATCTTTCATATTTCCTGCTGAGCTGTACTTGCCATGATGACACGCATATGATGAACAATAGGATGTTGAAACAGAATGACTGTTGTGGAATCCTCCCCCAATTTGGGACACATCTCAGGCACGGCACAGAACCTCGGCTTCCTCCCTCCACCTTGGCTCGTTCAAAAGGGATTCTCAGCATCCCATCCCCCTAGCTTAGGGTGCGTTTTTCGAGGTTAGTCAGCCTCGACTAACCTCACTGACATAATGGGATAACCTGATTTGTCCAGGGAATCTTCTGTTCTATGTCAGAGCTAAGGGTGGCAATGGGACGGACCCGCCCCGTCCTCACCCTGCCCTGCTTCTCCCACGAGGGCATCCGTGAAGTTACAAAAATTTTGTTATATAATTTCATTATAATTAAATTTTAGTAAATAATCAAGTACTAAAATATTAACACATCATCAAATTATTATTCATTGTAACTTTACAATTGAAATTCATAAAAATAATTAAATAAAAATTATTTGAATACAATTCATAACCCCTTGCCACTATAAATACCTCCTCTCGTTCACTAATGAGGCAATAATTTTTCCGTTCGCTGGCTCAGTACTCTCCTTGCTTCGGTACTAACTTAAGCATCGGAGCGGTCCGGGACTCATCCCTGCCTCTTCTTTGCTTTGCTTTCTTCTGTTGTTGCAAGCACCGGACTTTAAAGAGATCTTGCCGAGACATTAGTTCAACAATGACTGAGACAGTTCCATGCACAAATAAAGAGAATAGCTGTTCACTGAAACAATTCCCAGGATAAGGTACCAATGAATTGGTAATGTTCAAACATATGATTGTATCAAATCTTTGGATTTCAATTCACCTCTTCAAGTTACTTGACCGGCAGTCCGAGTGGGTATAGTTTTAACAAAATCAACTCAAGGGATGAAGGGCAAGTGATTCCCTGTTATAGGGGATTTAATTATGCCCCCATTTCACTAGCACAAGTTGCAGGATGAGGATGAACTCGGGATCACCCAAAATCTGTAAAAACAAGCTTCAACGATGCGAGGAGTGGACTGGGCGGTTGTTTTAAAAATCGGTGCTGCAATGTTTTATGTACTCATAGCATGTTAAGAAAACTTTGAAAAAAAAAATGTTAAGAAAACCAAGTTATGGATGAACAGGTTCACAGTTACCAAAGCCTAAACCATACCAACTTGGGTGACTCCCCTGCCCTAATTTTGACTATGAATGCAATTTGCAACCAAAACCCCACTACCTGTAAGGGATAATTTATGGAATTTTTGTAAATAATTTTGCAATGTCTGTACATGTTCAAGTACATACCAAATTCCTATGCAGCATGGACACATGCTCAACTATGAACATATTCGATTCAGTATTTCCAACCGGTAATCTTGCGTTGATGGCCACTAGAGGATGTCGAAGCTCCTTTTTACCCCTTTTATGCCGTATGTGGTGCTTAGATGGGGTATAAGGTAAATTGCCAATTCCTCCAATCATGCTGTATAAACAATATTCAAGATAATTTTTATCAACATCCCGACATGCATGCCTAGCTGCTATTTTTTTTTTTTTTTTGGACACGACAAATTCTACCAATAATTTCAGAAACCTGATAATTTCACTTGGTTCCCCTAAAGTTTCAAAAATTACACGTACCTCCCTTATCCATTTAAAATGACAATACTAACTTTAATACTTTAATAAAACCCTTTTGTTGCCATGTTTAAACAAAGGATGCATTTTATAATTTTTTTCCTTTTTCCTTCTTATTCATTTCTCTTATATTTCATTAGAAGCATAGAAGAATTATCAAGATTGTCCTTCATATCTATCCAAATCAAACGTTAAACTAGTAATATTTTTTTATAACTTTTAACATCATCCATCTTTTTTGTAACTCTTTTTTATATCAAAATCAAGAATAAATCAACAAGAATTAAAAAAAATAACCCAAAATCACTACCAAACTATGGTAGCTCTATCACTAAGCCAATCCAAAAATGTTTATTAAAAAATAGTCAACAAACTTTATAAAAAAAAAAAAAGATAACACTTTCTTCTCTATTTTAAAAAGAATCTATATCCCCCAATAAGGTTCTATAAAAAAAAAAACCTATTATAGCAATAGACTTATTGTTATAGTTGATTTTTAAATAACAAATATTTTTATGAAGAACTTGACCCTCTTTTTTTATAATTGTGCTAAATTACTGTACAATTGTTTAGAAAATAAATTAAACTTTATAAAATAAGGGCATTTCAGGATATTCATTAAATTTTTTACTCGATTTTAAATTTTGGTTACTAAAATATCAAATCAAGAGAGGTGAATGTACTTTTTAAAATGTCAAAGGAACTAAATGAAATAGCTAAAAACCTAAGGGGAGGTTTATGAAATTATTCCTTAATTCTATTCTAGACCTACTCCTATTCTACACTAAGGGGAAGGGGTAGACCGTCACAGGACTAGACGAGTGCCTTTGGAGCCGTTGGTGAAATTTTCAAAAAATTCTAGATAAGAATACAGTCAACAGATTCAATTCTTTGAAGCAACTCTCCATGGTGGCCAACTATTCTCCAAGCTTCCATTAAGGGGCAAGAAATGTCAGTCCATGTGTTTATGAATGATGTAATATCTTGTAAACAAGTTGTAATTTATTATTAAAGCTAGTTTCATAGAGCATTAATAGCCATGCAACAATGGTGCGTTGACACTGAAAAGTTTCTGACAACTAAGTTGGTTGGCTGCAAAATTAATGCCGGGCTGGAATTGACCCGGTCAAAACGAAAAATAGTAGAGGGTTAGGGTAGAAAAACTACGGGTTTAAGTGGTATTGGGTCCTGTGGGACGCACGAGAAAGTGGGATTGAAAATTTTTTTTCTTGTTTCTCAACATAAGGAATGCAAACTAAGGCTACTCTAGGACTAAAAGAGCTAGAATTTGGCAAGTAATGGACAAACAAAGCAAGTGTTTTAGGAATATGAAAAAAAAAAACTAAAATTCTAATTTACTCTGTATGTGTGTTATTCAAATCTTGGGATCGGTTGAGTTTAGGTCCAATTTGAGCAACTCAAATAGAAATGGAACCTAGCGTTCAAACAAGAGCGTATGTCTGTGATGCTCAAAACACGGTCAAGCTTAATCAACCATTAAAAAAATAAAAATTTAATTGAGCATTGCACACATACACATATATACATACATACTGTGACGACCTCACCTCTCCCTAGGGCGTATCCCAAAATTTAGCGAATTGCCCGCCTAACTCTCGTCAGAGCTCACTCACACAGTTTCAAAGATAAATTATAACGTCGAAAGTAAAAGAAGCAGCAGTTCCCAAACTTAAAATGTATATTTACACACGTAACTATTTCAAATATCCATACATACCCAAATGTAACAAAAGATTCAAATTCTAGTTGAACTCCTAACCCTAATTGAGCACTAATGCTGTTACAAATACAATGGTCAAAAAGGTCTAGACAAAATCAGTCAGTCCCTGCCTCATGCCCATGCTCACACCCCCTGTAAGGAAAACAAAACTAATAGGGTGAGTTAAAACTCAGTGAGGTTCCAAAACATCATGCAAAACCGGTCGCAAGTTGACCATTATATAAAACTTGAAATCTCAAAGTGGGTGAGCGCAAAAGTTCATGAAAGTAAGCAATAGCACTGCCAGTAATAAGTTAATTAAGTATTCGACACTTCCAGGTATAAGGATACAATTAGCTATTGCAAGCTAATTCGGCCGCAGCTTGTCGAGAAACAGTTGACACTCCGTCAACTCTCAAAGTATTGTAACAAGTCTAGTAGAGCATCACTTAACTCCAATCTCTATCTATCAATCAAACCTCCTACCGGACTCGAACTTCAACATTAACAGTGGTAGTAATACTCGAGTATATTGAATCCAGTGGTCCATATCCAGTGGATTACACAATAAATAATAAACAGTACCTATGGTTCGCCAGTCTGCTCGACCAAACCCTTGTTGGCTCGATTCGACCAACTAACCAATAGGGTTGGGATCCGAGAAAGTATTCAAGTCATACACATATACATCAAACCATTTGTGACCAGTGTACAATAATTAGTCAAATTATGGTAAGTGCGATAAAGTACACCCTTGCCCAACCAAACAAGTCAAGTACTGTCCAATCACATTAAGAAAGCATTGCATTCAAGTATCAAGTTCAGTCATACAGTTGGAGACACTCACCAATGATTCACTGCTTATCAAAATCAAGCTCAGGTCCAACCCTCTGGCCAGAGTCAAAATCTGCGATAAAATGTCGTATAACAACATGTAATTAAATAGGGTTTCAAAATATACGACCTTCGCTTATTAATATTAAGAAAAAATCAAGTAAATAGAACTCATTTAAATAGTAATCATAATGCTTGATAAACCCTGAAAAATACATGCCCGCTCTTTTGGATTTTGGTAAAGAAACGATTGAAACTTTTAAGTTTATAACTTGATATATGCAACTGGAAAATCTTGTTTAAAGTGGCCATTACTTTCTCCTTGAAAAATATATAGTTTTTGGCAAAATTTCAACTTACATATCACTACCAAGGTCAATTCAAACATTTCTAAGCAAGCTAAGTCCAAATCGATCACAAATCACACCTCCATGTTCACTTTCAGTCACTTATTCTACAAGAAATGAAATGGATAGCAACTCCCCTGTTTTTCTTTAATATTTTCCTCCAATCCCAAAGCTGGATTTCATGTCAAAACTACCCAAAACAACTCCACAAGTTATAGGTTATTTAAGGGTTCTTATGTCTTGGCTATAAAACCAACTAATTTAGGCTTATCTCTAGCATCTAAACATAATATATCTAAGTTGAAAATTTCAAACTCTAAGCTGGAAATTTGGAACTAAAGCTAGAAAATCCTTATTTGGAAGCTAAAAGTCATATTAAAACTAAAAATCTTCATATAAACACTCTCAAGTCCATATCAAAGCTAGACATCATCACTTTATGGTTGGAAAATATAAATCAAAGTTGGAAAATTCCACTTCACAAATCCATGACATCTTCCATAAAACTTCTATATTCAAGTCATCTATCCAATAAAATGCAAGATAAGAAAGAGAATAAAGTTAGTTAGCTTCATACCTTCAAACCCTTATAGGAAAATGCAAAAAACAAAGGTTGCCAATCCAAAATCACTCCACCTCAAGCTTCCTTGTCACCTTGTTGCACCTTTCTATGGATTGATTTAGGGTTTTAGGTTGATTTCTCTCCAAAGCAACCAAGAATCAAGATGAAAAATTGAAGGCTTTCCTCTCCTTTTTCCTCTCTTGAGTTTGGCCAAAGAAGGAAGAAAAATGAAGGGATTTTGAGGAAAATTTACAAGATAAAGACTAGAGAAATCTTTGGTCAAAGTTGGCTTGATTGCCAACACTTATCATCCAACGGTTTCCTTGTTTTTTTTCTAAATTTCGGCCAGCATGCTAAAAAAATATGGGGAAGGAAACTAAAAGAAAAACAAGAAGATTAAGAAAAGAAAATCTTGGTCAAGTAGTGTCTCTAATCGGTAACAAGCGGTGCGAGTTGGCTTGTGTTGTAACTTATGTGTCACTAACTTACTCTTAACACTTTTTAATCATGTAATTCCTCTTACTTAATACCCGCTCTTATCCACCAAATTTAATAAACACACCTCATCAATTGATCACACTACCATAATGCACCATAAAACCTAGCATGCACCAAACTATAAAAGTAAAAGTAAACTCTAGACTCTATCGTTAAAAATAGTTACAAATATTAAGACAAGTAAATTAGTATTAGGGAAACTATAAATTAACTTATTCAAAAATAAAGGAAATTATAAGAAAATATAAGAGAATTTTCAAGTCCTCACACATACATACATACATACATACATACATATATAGTTTATTAGTTTTAAATGTTTATTGTATGTCTAATCACAATTAAAATTTAAGTTTTAACAACGAAAAGTTTTAGTCAGGGATTGAATTTTCTTGGGTTTTGATTAATTCTTGTCATTTTGCGAATCATATGTCCTTCGTCTTATATATCAATCTGCATTACCGACCGCTTGTTGATTTATGATACCACCTTATGTATCAATGCATTCCCAACCTGCATTAGATATTATTGTATTTTCGAAATGCAATGTCTAATTCACCTGTCACTTCCTTTTGTGGTTTTCTTTGTGGTCTTGGAAAGTCAATCCATCTACTTGGGTACTGCCTCAATCCTCCCCAGCTGGATACTCTTGCCATAATCTATGCGAATATGCGACCATCAGGAGATTAGGTCTGAACTCTGAAGTGGTTGTCATATACCGCATTGCTTTTTGACAATGGTACTCTATTTTTTTGTAGAGTAAATGGCACAAATAGTTTTAAACTATTGAAAATTTCTTATTTTGAACTTCAAATTTTTTTTTGGGAGTCGTATCACTCAACTAGTATATTTATATTAACATACATTTTTGGATCGAAAATGTACATTTATATTAGTTGAATGAAAAAAGTATTTTTTTTCTGGTTGAGTGACAAAAATGTTTACTTGGTATTAGTCGGCGACCTTTTTTACTAAATAAAAACTTAATAATATTAACAAGAATATTAGTCGGATTGTTTGACTTTAAATTTCTAAGATTCATTACTTCTTTTGTTTTCTTGCTGTGGAGGTCAGATATGTATGAACCTAGCCTACTTAGGCCGATCAATTAAAGCATACTCCGTTAATGTATCAATTATGCATGCTCGATTACAGTAATCTCCAAATTTGGTTCTTCGAGTACTCCAAAAAATCCATTGTATGCTCCTTTATGTATTATATTATGTTGGTACTTACTACCTGCGGTTTATTTAAAGGTCGAATTGACTTATGCTAATCAATGCAAGTCTAAGCTGCCTTTGTTACTGATTTGGGCTTGTGGCACCCCATTTTTGAAATAAAAGAGAAAGTGTTTAAAATGAATATTTGATTTTATTTTAGAAAATAAAGAAAAAGAGCCTAAAATGAAATTTAGAATATGTGACGGTTGGGTCCAAAATAATAGTTGAAAAAGAGTTTCTAGAAAAGGAGAATCATCACTTGGTATTAAATTTAGGTGTACCAAATCACTCAAAATATATTTTAAGTGAAAACAAATAAAATCCTTTTAGACGACTCTAAATCTTTGAAAATGAGAGAAAAGAGTTCGAGAGTCACGGTTAAAAAAAGGAAAGACAAATATTTGATTGATTCAAATCTAAGGCACTCTTTCAATCTAACTAAGGTTAGTTACGAGATTTAGTCGAAAATTTTTCCTTATTTAACCCTTAACTTATCACATTTGGATATTTCCTATATAGATGCAAAACTAAACCTATGGGGTATCGAAAGGGATGAAATGCCTTTTCGAAACTTAATTGGTGCAAATCACATTAATTGTGAAATTCAAGAATGATCCCTTAAAAGAGATCACGAATATACAAAAGATGATACTTAAAAAAGAAATTATGGTATATACATGACCTAAAGAGGAATGCAACACAACGGTTATGAAGGATTAAAATTCGTGATACAATTTTCCTTCTTATAGAGGGGTAATAGCATGTTAAGGTTAAAAAAAAGTTATACTCGCCAATTTCCCATATTCGAAAGGAAACTCTTCTAATCTAGACAAACAAATGGATTAATCTATTTTTTTAATTATCTTAATGAAATGCAAGTCTAAATAATATAATTCATGCACATAGAAATAAGAAAATAAGAGGACATATCATCAAAATATCCTAAAAGGAAAAGTGCATGAAATGCGATAAATGCCACACAAAATATGAATTTAGCGTGAAGATGGCATAGAAGGGTCTAGCATTGGATTAGCCCATTTTTACAAGTCCTTACTAGCATTGGACTAATGAGAAATTGGAGAAAAAAATCACAATTAATGTTGGACTACTGTGGTAACGTCATGCACTCATTATAAATAAATAAAACATATAAAATATAATCAAAATAAATAAACACATAAAGACATAGAGCATGTAGAGCACATAACAAATAGGCATAATATCTAAATGCAAAACCCTAGAGAAAGTGAATAAAACACATAAGCATATAAACACACAAATACATAAAATCTAACTATTATATTGGGGGCTCTAACTACAATCTAAAAGGGGAAATATAAGATAATAAACCTATCTAGCCTATCTATTACATTTATCTAACTAATTACATTTCTTACAAAAAATAAACCTATCTATTACATCGTCTATCTAATTACATTTCTTACACGAAAGGATATTACTTATCTATTACAATTTGGACATTTAAATGCCTCCAAATAATCATAAAACTTAAATTAAACAAACATAAAATGAATGAAAGTTTAAAACAAACAAATAAAAAAATAAATAAAACACATAAACACATAGAAGCATGTAGGAGCACATAAAAGAAATTTAAAGGATAATAGAGGTACCTCCCTTTTGAAATCATGGCTAAATGAGAGGAAGGGAGAGTTGTCTATTTTTCCAAAATTAACACACGGGTTAATGTACCAATTTGATTGACAAGTTTAAAAAACAATATAAACATATACTAAACTCCCCTTTCTATTGTCAAAAATGTAAATAAACATAAAGTAACCAAAATTTACAAATTAAATGCATCTAAATGAAACACAATTAGCAATTAAAGAAGAGAAATAATTGTAATTGAGAAATAATAAAAATTAGGGACTCAATTGCAAAAATTAAGAAGTTTTTTGCAGTCAAATTATAATTTTTAAAAAATTAGGGGTTAAAATTAAATAAAATAAAGTATGTGGACCGAAATACAATTAAATTAAGAACCTAAGTGAAAGAGATCTAAAATATTAAGGCTACAGTAAAATTACTCAAAAGATTAGGGGCTAAATTACATAATTCATTTCTAATTTCACGAGGAAACAACGTTGGGCCATCTTATGCATTTGGGCTGAAATGACTTCGACCCAAGGAAAATAAATAGATGCATTTTATTTAAAAAATAGTCCAACCCAATTCATTTTTACAACCTTAAACCTAATAAAATTTGGACTTGAACTCCAAAACCCAACGTTACAAATCTAAACAAAATAAAACAGCAGCCTACTTCTTATTAAAATCATTTTTCTTAAATTCCTAAAATCATCTAATTAAATAATCTAAATCCAACAAATTTTATTCAAACCCTAATTATACTCTAAAGACTAGAATCAATTCACCAACAATATGCATAAAACATATAGAGGAAGCCAAGACCTCCAAAAGGAGTAATTTATTCATTTTTTTCACAAATTTTGGGGGCCATATTATAATTATGCAAAAATTTGGGGGCCAAATTACAAATATATTTTCCCATAAACTTAAATCAGCAAATAACATTCCGTGAATTCATCTGATTTTCAGCACTATCAAATGTTTAAAATCCACCCAATAAAGATAAAAGAAAAAAAAAACAAAATTCTTAACCCAATTCATAAAACCCATCCCATTTAATCATGCCATAGACTTGGGTTTTAGTGTCTTGATCCAAACAAAACTAACAACAACATCCAATATAAAGACACAAAGGCCCCAAACAAAAAATCCAACACAAGCCCACTTATAAATAATAAAGTTAAATCCAATAATTTCACACACAAGCCCAACCTGAAACAATTTTCTGGCCCAACTCTCAACGCACAAACATAAATTAACAACACCTAAATGTCTTAAAAGATCAAAACATAACAAACAAAACAAAGAAAAAGAGAAACAAAAGAAAAGAAAAAATAGATGAAGTTTCCGGTGGGTCAAGAACACAACTCGCCGGAATCTGAAAAAATTCCGGCCAAAGTGGCCGAAACTTCGCCCAAGGACATTTTCAAGGGTATTAAAGACCGAATACATGTTCCCTATAGCCTCATGAGTTCATTAAACTACCAAACCAATCCATAAAACCCCACAAATCATGAGAAAAACAAAATCTAAGTTGCAAACCCATAGTTACCTATAGTTACCTACAAAAGAGGAGGCTATAGCTACCTACAAGCGCTGGCGAACTCGAGTAAAAGCCGGAAATCTCAAGAAAACGCACCCCAAATTTCGGAAACGAAGCAAAGAGGTTCCTATCGTGGAGGTTCAAGTGCTAATGAACCAGCAACTTTGAGCTTGAATTTTAGGGATTTAGGGACGCTTTTTCAGGAAATTTTCAAAGCAAAAGTTGTTCACTGAAGTGCATAGATTATGCAGAAATAAATTTCTCACTTAAAGGGCTACAACCGAAGTCGGATTTTGATGAGAAACAGGGCTGACGAATCGGC